GAGCGTGCTGCTCTGACCGGCTTTAAAGGGTTAAACAGGAGTTCATGCTGGAAACCCCCCAATGTGGCTGAACTGAAACAATCCTGCAAAGAAGAGTGGCTCAAAATTCCTCCGCAGTGAAGACAAATATCAGAAAGGCATGATTGTCACAACCAGTTCTGACATTTAGAAGAGAAATTACTTTTTCACATTGTCCCAGGCAGTTTGTATAACTGTGTTTAATTTAATCAATGAAATCTTCTTTTAAAAACAGCATTTTTTATTTACTCTGGTCAACTTTTTCTAATGCTAAAAGTCATCTGATGACCTGAAACATGTTTAAAAACAAAAAACAAGAAATCAGAAATTTAAACAGCACTGCAGAGGTGGAAACATTCAAGCGTAATCTGTCACTGATGTTGAGAAAGGCTGAGTGAAGGGGGCTGGAGCGGGGGGAGGGAAAGCCTCAAGTAGGGAAAGTCCCTTTGGTGGCAGCACTGACATCACAGACACACAGCACCAATGCATCCTCTTCTTCTCTGTCACTAAAGGCTACAGTCCAAGTTTATTTATTTTCATATTCTTTGCAGATGTCAGCTGTGCAGGATTTGGGCAAATCCATCTACTTCTACAGATTTGAAAACCAGAAAATAACCCAACATACACTGTGTGAAATATGCTGCACAGAACAGTACCTTGATGGCCTTGAGGGAGCCGCTGAACAACATGTTGTGGGAGGAGACCAGTGTGCATACGGGGTTGTCATGGGCACGGATAGTATTGACTTTCTGGAGCGTCTGAATGTCCCACACCTACGCAAGATGCACAGTTGGAGGGGAAACGCATGACACAAATAAATGAGCTCGACATATGAAAACCTTCTATCGTGAAATTTTATAAGCTTGTTCCTAAAAGAGGGAGGAAGCAGAGATGTTACTTACAATGATGGTGCAATCTGCAGAGCCACTGTATAGCCTGTTACTATGGAGAGGAAAAATACAACTGAGTCATCCTGAGATTCCTGCAGCTGAGAGAAATCCAGTGATTACAACATGTGTGCATGATGAATTATATTACCCTTGGATACACAGAGCCAGCACGATGCCATCATGACCCTCCAGGGTTTTCTGACATTTGTAGGTGGTGCAGGTGTCCCACACCTTAGAGGAAGAGAAGCGTCACTTAGTATTTCTGTGCACAACAACAACTCAAAACAGGGTTATATGTGGAAATAGGAGTGAGCAGGCAAAAACAGTACGTATACAAAAACGGGGAAATGAGTGTAGCCGTTACCTTAATCGTCTTATCAGAGGAGCCAGAGAAGAGCAGGTCTCCAGTGGAGTAGACACAGAGACACCAGACGGGACCCTGGTGGCCCACAAATGTCCCCTTACACTTGAAGATCTGCTGGGGGTCGTATGCTACACACAGGCAGAAAGATAGACTGGATTTGTATTTTTCACTGGAGAAACACAGTGCGGGAAAATAACTGAAACAAGAGGTTAAGAACTGAAAGGTGGATAAAGAAAAGGGAAATGGAAAAGCGTGAGTGGGGGGAGGACGGAAATCCTGAGAGCTGGCAGAGCTACAATTTGAATTTCAGGTTAAAGCTTTCAGATTTTCACCAATGCTGAGAGAGGAGAGTAAAGGCTGACAGACACTTACAGCCCAGGATTCCCATGTTGAGCCTGGCGTTGATGTGGGACAGCTCATCCTGCAGGGACAAAGTAAGTATTTGTAGGCTTCTTAGTCACATAAACTCCA